TGGTCGACTGTCCGCAGCGTGGCATCACCGCCCGCGGCTTCGACCCAGATCAGCGCCAAGTTCACCGGCACCAGCGTCCGCGTCACTCCCGGGCAGCACAATCTCGGGATCTTCATCACCCTCGCCCGCCGGGACAACGAGGAGTACCGGCTCACCCACCCGGCCGCCCACCTCGGCGGCCTCCTGCGTGGCTCCCTCTCCGTCTCCGTGGCGGACACCTGCTACGTCACCTGCCCCAAGACCAGGACCAAGGCCATACTGCAGTACCTCGAGGACGGCTGGCTCGGCAAGGCCCAGCACAGGGTCTCCGGCGCCATCTTCCGCTACGACCCCGACAGGGACGACAGGACCCGCCTCAGGGACGTCCCGCCCGCAGACCTCCTGGCCGAGATCCAGGGCTCCTGGCACGACCAGATCTACTTCAGCCTGCCCGGCTCGAGGGACAAGCACCTCCTCGTCGACGTCGCCCCTCTCTTCCCCGCCGCCAAGATCACCCCGCCCGCCGACAAGCAGCTCGCGTACGAGTCCCGCCGCCTCTGGTCCGACATCACCGCCGCCATCAACGCGAAGCAGTACTCCCTCGCCACAAGGCTCAAGCACGAGCTGGAGGAGTCCCAGCGGTCCAAGGCCGCCCTCAGAAGGGAAACCAGCCGCGAATGGGTGCCGCGCTTCTTCACCGTAGCAGACATCCAGGCCGGCAGACCCGATCTCACCGACGACGGCAGAGACGCCCTCGACAGGCTGCACAGAGACGTCTTTGACCTCGACGAAAGGACCAGTACCAGCGGAGAGCGCTAATCCATCTCTCTCCTGCCCTTCGAGGACGCCAGACGTCTATCCTCTTTACTCCCCTTTACTCATTACTCGTCTACGGACAAGACGATAGACTTAATTACCCTTTAGGAGGCCCGCGGCCGGCTCGCATTACCTACATCAAGGAATAAAGAACTCCTGACGATACATGGTCAGGCCGGTGCATTGTACACACAGGTTGCATATAATAAAAATAGTATAGTCCCTTTTCCATGCAAAGAATATAAAAATAACCTCCCAGCTAATATGCAAACCCGCGCTGGTAATGCGATGTAAATCATTCATCCGTTCGCCTTGACAACCTTGAACCCCGCTGCCACCGTCTTCGTAATCTCCTCGTTCTTGTGTGGCAGCAGGCTCAGGGCGTACGCTACGTCGTTCCACTGCTTCTCCGTCTCGCACCTCGTCAGCCTCGCAGCCAGCTTGTCGGCCAGTTGCTTTGCGTGTTTGTCCTGGCACCCATACTTGTCAGACCTTCTATACTCGGAAATATAAAGCAGACAAATATAAAGCAAGACAAATATAAAGCAAGACATACCTTTTCAACAAACCCGGCGAGGAACTTCACTATCCTCCTGAGCGACTCTTCCTCCAGCGACTTCTCGGTGCTGAGCAGGCTGAACATGTCCACGAAATGGTTGTACACGGCATTGTCCTTGGTCGAAAGCTCCGTGAAGAACATGCGTGCCAAGTCTGCAATTTTCTTGTCCTCGTCTTCCAGACACTTCGCCATTTCTCCTAGCTGACCCTTCACCTTGATCTGTCCCGCCAGGATGAGGAAGGTGAGCGTCATCAGACAGGTTCGCTTGACCGAGACGTCGTCGTCGTTGAGCCGTCGGTAAAGGAAGTCCGTGTTTTCGTCGATGAGGTGGTTGAAACAGACCGCCATGTCCCCGAGTGCTATCACGGCATTGCTCCGGATGATCGGATCGTCAGAGCGCTCCATTATCGTGATAAGGAGTGGCAGGTTGCTCTCGCAATACTCGGCTGAGACGCACATCAGCTTGGCCATGCAGAGGGTCGCGGTGGCCTGGAGATTCTGGTCGGGGTAGGCCGTGTTGTTGGAGCATATTTCCGTCACCAGCGGCCCAAAATGCGTCAGCAGTGAGTTCTCGCCATACAGCAGCTCCCTCTCTCGGATATGAGCCATGGCTTCCGTGAAGTCGTCTTCGGTGGTTCCGCCGATCAGGTCAAGCTCGTCGTCCCCGGCGGCGTCGTCTTTCTTCTCCTGAGCAGGGTTGGCAGCCTTCTCTTTTTCTTGCTCTGCTTTTCTCCGTTTGAAGTCAAGTTCGCAAAGTTCAAGGTGAACGATTTGCTTGATTGCGATGTGGCCGACAATAATCAGGAGCTGAGATAGCCCGATAACGCTGGCCTTCTGTCGCGCTGCGTTGTTATCATCGGCGGGGGTTGTTGCTGCTGTTACCGCTGACGCGGACGATGCTGATGAGGGACGGTCCCCCTCGCTATCTGTTCTTTGGTGTGCATCTCG